ATGCATTTGAATGACTCGCACAAGTTCTTGAAGTTAACGAAAAGGAATTGTGCTCATCTTGTCCAATCAAATTGGCTTGCATGACGGGCAGTGATGACTGGTGACTTGGGAAGGGTGGTTAGGAGCACTGAGGGATTTATACAAGAGCAGAGTGAAGACAGAAGACGGTCTTTCCTTTCTCGAGAATTGCCCTCATTTAGCTGTCATTTGAAAGGCATTTTTACGTGCTTCAAATTTTGCATGATGACCAATCGTACCACATTCAAAACTCTTACTGTTACTTTGACTTGCGTCAGGGTCAATCACCTGGCCGAGATCACCGCGTAGCCTGATGGCGAAATTTAGGCTTGATCTGAGAATGCATAAAGTAAACAACTCTAGAATATTCACAAAATAGGTAGCATGTTTGTTTGTACTGTCACCCATGCTGATAGGTTAGATGCGAACAGTGCATTGGATCAGCACCATTCCGACTAGGTGAAAGGAGGGATGTGCAGGTGATTTTACCTCAGGGATTTACCCATTCCCAAACCATGTATCAAGTGTTAAGCCTGAAGGCAGGCAAGAAATTGTATTTGGCGTGCTTGTGATAAAATACCTTTCAAATGCTACTTCGTGTATTTTCACTGAGCACAAGCAGAATGGGGAGGTTTGATTTATCTGTCAGCAAAGCACACTGAGCAAATCAAAGAGACTTCCATACCGACGACACAAAGTACAAATTGTGCTATGTGATAGAATCACATATTCGTCAGGTCATCCATCCCACGCAAACGTGGTCCTAGTGGAAAGCAGAGATTGGTCTACCAAATAGATGTCAAACGGGCAATTAACCAATGGCACATTCAGATACCCATTTCTCCAATCTGATTGGCCCCTTCATGGTCAGTAAAGTGCACAATCATCATGGGAAGGCAAATAGCATTGGCTCTAGGCGAGGTTGACCTGAATTTATATTTGGCCCTCATGTACCTCCAGTTGGCATTTCATAAGCTAATCCCGTGAATTAACCGAGGTGAGTTTTTTTGCTTATTCTGCTTCACCCGAAGTGGTAATGCGATTTTCTTGCTCTTCTTTCGTGCATTCCTATCCTCTTACCTCTTCCTCCACAGCATGGGCTGTGTTATTTCCTGTGGCCTGAAGCTCGTTCTTCAAATCCTAAATATCATCCTCTGTGTAAGTGATTT